AATGCCGAAAGTTTAATTTTTGAGAAGTTTGACCGGGGGTTGACTTTTTGATATCGGGGTCGGAATCCGATTTTGAAAATTGAAATATCTTTGTTATATCATTTATGACTTGTCTGTAAAATTTTAGGTCAATTAGACGTGATTTGATAGGTTCCGGAGTTGTTTGTAGATATTAGAAATTTCAAAGTTCGTTAGGCATGAATTGGGGTGTAATTTATGATTTTAGCATTGTTTGAGGTGATTTGAGGGTTCGACTAAGTTCGTATGATGTTTTAGTACTTATTGGTATATTTGGTCGAGGTCCCGGGGGTCTCGGGTGAGTTTTGGATGGTTAACGGGTTAGATTTTGGACTTGGAACTCTGCTGGAATTTTTCTGATGCACCATCTGATTTCCTTCATCGCGTTCGCGAAGAGGAACTGAGGGGCTGGCAATATTTTCTCTTCGCGTTCGCGAAGAGATGCGCACGTTCGGGAAGGGTGGACTGGGTATGCATTGCGAACGCGAGAGGTGTTACGCGTTCGCGAAGAAGAGAGGAAGCAGTTGAGGACCCCATGCAATTGGTCTACGCGTTCGCATAGGGAGTATCGCGTTCGCGTACTAAGGGGGAACGAAGCATCGTATTCGCGAAGGGTTGAATGCGTTCGCGTAGAAGGCATTGAGGCAGAGGCATTTTGTGCTTCGCGAACGCGAGGGTGATGTCGCGTTCGTGAAGGAGGAATTTGGACGGGAGATATTTTGTGCTTCGCGAAAGCGAGGCACTAATCGCGTTCACGAAGAAGAAAAGCCTGGACATTGAGTTTAAGTTCTGAAAATGGGACGAATTTGATGATTTGGAGCTCGGATTTGAGGCGATTTTGGGTGATTTTCAGAGAAAACAACGAGGTAAGTGTTCTTAACTCAATATTAGTTAAATTACCCGAATTCATGGTTGTTTTTATCATTTAAATTGGTGAATTGAGTTGGAAAATTTTGAAACCCTTTTGGTTTAAATTGAAGATTTAAGGGTCGAGTTGGGGTCGGATGGTGAGCGCGGGTACCCATTGAGTGAGTGATGAGGGCTGGGAGCCCAGGGAGTGATGAGGGCTGGGAGCCTAGTGAGTGATTGTTGTTGTGAGAGGTTGTATTTGAATTTTATTTGTTGTTGCACTTAGTTGCTATCTGTTATTGTTGTGAAATTTCTGAAAGATTGTTGATATACGGATTACATGAACAGGAACTGTATAAAAATTGATTTGACATTAAACTACCAGATTTGATAGCATGTCTATTCTTTGCTGGGATTACTGGAAATGAACCATAACTGTGTAGCTCGTTACTATCTTCAGTTCCTTATTTATTATTGTTACTTGATGAGTTGGTTGTACTCATACTAAACCCTGCACTTCGTGTAGAGATCCAAGTGTTTCCGGACATAGCGGGTGTTGATCTTTTCGCGCGGTTGATTTTCAGGAGATTTTGAGATAGCTGCCGTGTTCCGCAGACCTTGCCTCTCCTTCTCTATCTCTTTGTTCACTGTATTTGGTCTCAGACTATTATAGACTATATTTTCCAGATTTGTATTCATATTAGATGCTCATGTACTCAGTGACACCAGGTTTTGGGAAGTGTTTATATTATATTTAAATATTATATTTTCAATCTTGAGAGAAATTGTGGTTTATTGAGATTTTTGGCTTGCCTAGTATTGAGATAGGCTCCATCATGACGGGTGAGATTTTGGGTTGTGACAAGTTGGTATCAGAGCCAAGATTACATAGGTCTCACAAGTCATGAGCAAGTTTAGTTGAGTCTTGCGGATCGGTACGGATACGTCTGTATTTATCTTCGAGAGGTTGCAGAACCCTTAGGGAAAATTTCACTTTCTTGTATTATATCGTGCGAATTTGTTGATTCTGGAAACTAAATTTTTGCTATTCTATTCTCTCACAGATGGTGAGGACACATACTATCGGATCGGACGGTCAGCCACCAGTGCCACCAGTTAGGGCCGCGAGAGGCCGGGGTAGAGGCCGTGGCCGAGGTAGAGGTCGAGGTGTAGCTCGTACCACAGTTGGAACAGCACTTGTAGTACCACCAGTTGTTCTAACTCAGGAGCAAATTTCAGATATAGTTGAGCCGACAGGATCAGCTCAGGCACCAGCTGTGCCCATTGAGCTTGCAGGCATTCAGGAGACTTTGGCCTAGATATTGGCAGCCTGCACTGGTCTTGCTCAAGTGGTTTCGGCTCAGGCCGCACCTTCCACTTCTCAGGCTTGGGGAGGTACTCATACCCCATTGCACGTACTTCATACCAGGTAGTACAGGGACTTTAGATACCGGGGGCACTACCAGCCCAGCCGGTTGCAACTGCTCAGGCCCAAGTAGTTCCTGTTATGGCAAATGATAAGCAGAGGAGACTTGAGAGATTTGAGAGGATTCGACCTCCATCATTTAGTGGTACTAAGTCAGAGGATGCTTAGGATTTTCTGGATAGGTGCCAACGGATGCTTCGGACAGCAGGTATTCTGGAGACCAGTGGGGTCTCATTCACTACTTTTCAGTTTTCTGGGGCTGCACTCAGATGGTGGGAGACTTATGAGAGGCGTAGGCCTGTTGGCGCAGCACCTCTTACTTGGCATCAATTCTCCGTGGTCTTTTGGGAGAAATTCGTACCTCAGTCCCGCAGAGAAGAGCTGCGCAGACAGTTTGAGCAGCTTCGCCAGGGTAATATGTCCGTGACGCGGTACGAGATGAGATTTTTTGAGTTGGCTCGTCACGCAATATGGTTGGTTCCCACTAATAGGGAGAGGATTAGAAGATTTATTGATGGCCTCACATATCAGTTGCGGTTACTTATGACTAGGGAGAGAGTATCTGGTGCTACTTTTGATGAGGTAGTGGACATTGCTCGGCAGATAAAGATGGTTCGTAGCCAGGAACGTGGAGAGAGAGAGAGGCTAAGAGGCCTCGTGGTCCGGGTGATTATAGTGGTGTTCCTTTAGGGGGTCATTTTCACCGTAGTAGGGTTCGTTCTTACAGACACGTCCAGACGGGTCATCCAGCTCATCGTGGTGCATCAACTAGCCATGGTTCTTATAGTGTTCACTCATACCAGGCTTCATTCAGTGCACTACCAGCGCAGATTTCTCATCATGCCTCATCCGTACAGACTTCTGCAGGCCATCCTTCGGGGTATCAGGAGCAGCAGTTCCGTCAGAGGAAGTGTTGTTTCGAGTGCGGAGAATTTGGTCATTTCAAGAGAGAGTGTCCTAGGCTGTTGAGTGGGGTTTCACAGCAGAGTTCTCGATTGACGGCACCAGCACCAGCAGTTACACCACCCGCCCTGCCATCTCGAGGTGGAGGTCAGGCAGCTAGGGGTCGTCCAAGAGGGGGAGGCAGATCAGGAGGCATGCATGCTCGATTCTATGCTTTTCCTGCCATGCCAGATGTTGTTGCCTCAGACGCAGTAATCACAGGTATTGTTTCAGTGTGCCACAGGGAGGCTTCTATATTATCTGACCCTGGTTCCACTTACTCATATGTATCATCGTAATTTGCTCATTATATGGGTATGCCCTGTGAGTCCTTAGTTTCACCTGTTTGTGTATCTACACTGGTGGGTGATATTATTATTATGGATCGTGTTTATCGGTCGTGTGTAGTAACTATTGGGGAACTGGAGACTAGAGTTGATCTCTTATTACTCGGTATGGTTGATTTCTATGTAATCCTGGGTATGGATTGGTTGTCTTCATGTCATGCTATTCTAGACTGTCACGCAAAAAGTGTGACGTTGATGATGCCGGGGTTTCCAAAGGTCGAATGGAGGGGTTCTCTAGATCTTGTTCCTAGCAGGGTAATTTCTTATTTGAAGGCCCAACATATAGCTGGAAAGGGATGCTTGTCATATTTGGCCTTTGTGAGAGATGTTGATACAGATGCTCCTATTACTGATTCAGTATCGGTCGTGCGAGACTTTTCGGATGTATTTCCTACAGACCTGCCGGGTATGCCACCCGACAGGGATATTGATTTCGGTATTGACTTGGTGCAGGGCACTCAACCCATTTCTATTCCTCCATATCGTATGGCACCAGCTGAGTTAAAAGAATTGAAAGAGCAACTTCAGGAACTCCTTGAAAAGGGTTTATTAGGCCTAGTGCGTCACCTTGGGGTGCACCGGTTATGTTTTTGAAAAAGAAAGATAGTACTATGCGGATGTACATTGATTATAGGCAGTTGAACAAAGTTACAATCAAGAATAAATATCCATTGCCGCGTATTGATGTTTTATTTGACCAGCTTTAGGGAGCGAGGGTATTTTCCAAAATTGATTTGAGGTTTGGGTATCACCAATTGAAAATTCGGGATTCGGACATTCTAAAGACGACATTCAGGACTCGTTATGGCCACTATGAATTTCTTGTGATGTCTTTTGGGCTAACCAATGCCCCAGCAGCATTTATGTATTTGATGAATAGTGTATTTCAACCATATCTTGATTTATTTGTTGTGGTATTCATTGATGATATTCTGGTGTACTCACATAGCTAGGAGGAGCATGCACAACACTTGGGTATTGTATTACAGAGGCTGAGAGAGGAGAAACTTTATGCCAAATTCTCTAAGTGTGAGTTCTGGCTTAGTTCGGTGGCATTCTTAGGACATATAGTGTCCAGTGAAGGTATTAAGATGGATCCGAAGAAAATAGAGGCAGTTCAGAATGGTCCCAGACCATTCTCAGTTACTGAGATTCGGAGTTTTCTCGGTTTGGCCGGTTATTATCGTCGTTTCGTGGAGGGTTACTCATCTATTGCATCGCCTATGACTAAGTTGACCCAGGAAGGTGCTCCGTTCAGGTGGTCAGATGAACGTGAAGAAAGCTCTCAGAAGCTCAGGACAGCTTTGACTACAGCTCCAGTCAGTGGCGGACCCAGAATTTTTATCAAGCGGGTTCAAAATACAAAGAAGCAAATATATAAAGAGGTCAACAAAAAAATATATTAATAAAATATATTATTACAACTGTCCTCTACGAGTTTTTATTTCCTGAAACGTATTCATAATAGTCTCATCAGAAATGGTGTTAAATATTTTTCTTTCTACATAAGGTACCAAACAACTGCTCATGAATTCGTCATTCATTCGGTTTCGCAATTCACTCTTGATCAACTTCATCGCCAAAAAATTTCTTTCAACGGTAGCAGTGGCAACAGGTAGAAGCAAAGCAAATTTCATAAGGCGAAACACAAATGGATAATTCAAATGCTTCTTTGTATTAACTAGTGTTTCAGAAAGATCAACAAGTCCTTGTAGATTTGAGAACCTTTCATCAACATCACGAACATCAACAATATAAGTTTCAAGCTGATTCTTGAGTGTAACCGTTATATTCTCATCAAAATCATCAGGATATAATTCAGCCATCCTCAATATCTTGTTTATGTCAAAACTGGAAAATGAGTCAACTGGATTTAAGCAGGCTACTCCAACAAGCAAGTTCGTTGTCACCTCATTAAAACGAGCATTGAGTTCTTGAACTTGCCAATCAATAATCTTAAAAAATATATCAGCACGATAGTGATGTAAAATAGTATAATCAGCAACTTTACGTCGAGATCTTCCGGAGTTAACATAGAGGTCATCAAAGTTTGGTATCAAGATATTATACTTGACACAAAATGCAGATACCTTATCAATAAGTGAATCCCATTTTTCTTCTCTTAGCTTTTGCAACCGTTGCTTTGCCACTTCAACAAGTAGAATAGCATTTGCAATATCTTGCTCCTTTTTTTGTAAGGATGTATTAAGCTCATTTGTGATCCCCAAAATATCTCTCATTAGGTGCAACATGAAAGCAACCTCAAATGTTTGACAAGTGCTAAGATATCCCTTTGCCTTAGCTCTTTCTTCTAAAGTCGGGGCATCAACAACGATAGTATCAAGAACATCAATAATTGAGCTAAACATAAAAATAAAGTTCTTAAAAGATTTGTAGTGAGAACCCCAACGAGTATCTGCAGCTCTAGCAAGACCAAGTTCTTGATTCAAACCCCTACCAGTTTCAAGTTCACCCATGTCTAATGCCTCTTGAACTTTTTCTGCTTGAGATTCTCGAAGATCATCCATACGTTTAAAAGAACCTCCCACTATATTCAATACATTAGAAACCAACAATACAAGTTCTCCCACTTCAAGACACCTTTTGGATACCGCAACAAGAGTCAATTGAAGTTGGTGTGCAAAACAATGAATGGATTAAGCAGATTTACTTTCTTGTTGAATCAAAGTTTTGAGGCCACGTAAAGCCCCTTGCATGTTGCTTGCTCCATCATAGCACTGTCTACGCACATAAGATAGACTCAAAGAATATTGAGCAAGGTAATCAACAATTGCTTTCTTTAAACACAAAGCAGTAGTATTACGAACATGAACGATCCCAATAAAATACTCCATCACAGATCTGCATCTATTAACATATTGCATGACAATAGCTAATTGCTCTTTGCGTGATACATCATATGATTCATCAACTAGCAATGTAAAAAGGTCTCCATTTAGATCGTTCATAATTGCTTTAACTGTTTCAATTTTACATGCAATGATAATGTCTTTATGAATTTTATGAGAAGTCAACTGATCATTCTTTGGAGCCTTTTTCAACACAAGATCACGAATTTTATCGCACCTCTCTGCATACCATAAAAGAATCTCAAGAAAGTTACCCTTGTTTAATGATGATTCATCTTCACGATATCCACGGAATGCCAATCCTTGATTCAATAGGAGTTTCACCACCTCAATTGAAGCCTTCAAGCGAATTTTGTATTCGAGCTTGGTTTGAGTGGATTGCCTATCAAATGAAGTTTGAATTGACTGTTTTTATTTTAATAGATCTTCACATTTACTTTTTGCCTGATTATGAATACTGCTCGACCCATGCATATCTAATCTGTTCTTTTTGTGCCAGCTCTTAAATCCTAAACTTGAAAATACATCACCTCCACCTTGATGAATGCCTTCATCTTGAAATAAGTAGCAATACAAACAGTAAGCTGCATCTTCAATCATACTATACTCCAACCAATTATGATATCCTTTAAACCAATTAGGATTGAAACGGCACTTTAAGCCCGAAAAATCTCTTTGAGGAAACTTATGATATCGGGGTTGGCAAGGACCTCTTCGGAGGTATTCTCTTCTAATCTCATCACGCTCATTTAGATGAAAGTCTCTAATGGGTAATCTCTCCTTTGGATCAGTCTTTAAAGAATCGAGATCTATTCCTTGTCTTTATTTTTTAGAGGATTGAGGTTGTTCTACTAATTGGTTCAAATTTTCTTCCACGGGAGTAACAATTAGAGAGGATGAACTTGATTGTGGCAACTTGGAAGATACCGGAGGATAAAATCTCTTCATTGTAACATAAACTGGATTACCAAATTAGAATTCGAATTAGAAGAATAATTTAATTAAACTTAAATTTAAACTAACATTTATTCATTCTTCACCAATAATTTAATTTTCTTTTATTTTACATATCATTATATTATAAAACAGTTAGATGAGATTTTAATCATCATTAAATAGCTTTGGACCACAACTTTGAAAGTTCAAAATGTCTTTACAAGAGTTATTGTTTTCATCATAATTTTTCTTGAAGCAACAAAGAGAACAAATAAAAAAATCAGCAATGTAAATTCTAGTGATGGGCAAGTATTTTAAAGCAGATTATTTATATCATGGAATAATTGAGTTAATTGAAAGGAACACCTATATAATGCAGTTAGCCAAACACATATACATAATACACTCATACACTTAGAAAATAAAATTAATCTGAATCCAATGTGTTATAGTCAATTAGTCATCCCTAAATCACTTAATGATAATTGATAAGATAGACCTAATTTATATGTACAAGAAAAAAAACTAGAAATCAGAGAGAAACCTGATGGTGATAGTTGATGGTGAGAGAGTGAGAGGATAATGGCAGGAGACAGCTATGGAAGGAAGCAATATGACCTTGAAATTGAACTAAAAGATTCACTAGAGAGAGAGAGAGACAACAAGCATTTTTTATGAAATATGCAGATAAATAGAGAAGGGTTTCGGAATTGGGGCTGTTAGTTTGGGAATTGGTTGGGTCACTGTATTTTAGACATAAACGACGTCGTATTTAAATAGGAAATACGTATTAAAACAAAATAATTCTGACTGGTTTCGAACTCAAGACCTTGGGGAAAATTTGAACCCACTTTGCCAACAGGCTATTCGTCATCAACGTTTTAAGCAGGGTCAAAATAATTTTTATACATAAAACGTTCTTAGAAATATAAAATATACTTATATATACAGTGTTATTTTTCGATGAAGCGGGTTCATTTGAACCCTCTTGACCCTACGTGGGTCCTCCCCTGGCTCCAGTATTGGATGTTTCCGAGCCGAATCGAGTTTTGGCCTGTGTGGTTTCTCAGTATTTTTTATATGATCGCATCAGAGAGCACCAGTATGATGATCCACATATGCACGGTGATGCACGGTGATGCCAAGGAAGTCACTATTGGAGATGACGGTGTATTACGGATGCAGGGGAGGCTATGTGTACCTAATGTAGAAGGTTTGCGCGAGCTGATTCTCCAGGAAGCTCACAATTCGCGGTACTCTATTCATCCACGCGCCGCGAAGATGTATAAGGATTTGAGATAGCACTATTGGTGGAGGTGGATGAAGAAAGATATAATTGAGTTTGTATATCAATGTTTAAATTATCAACAGGTAAAGTACGAGCACCAGAGACCAGACAGATTGCTAAATAGACTTGAAATTCTGGAGTGGAAGTGGGAGCATATTACCATGGACTTTGTAGTTGGACTCTCATGGACTTTGAGAAAGTTTGATGTTGAATGGGTGATAGTAGATCGATTGACCAAATCTGCGCATTTTATTTCAGTCGGTACTAATTATTCTTTGAAGCGGTTGGCTAGGATTTATATTCGCGAGATTGTTCACCTACATGGTGTGCCGGTGTCCATTATTTCAGATCGGGGTACGCAGTTTACCTCACAGTTTTGGAGGGTAGTGCAGCGAGAATTGGGCACACGGGTTCAGTTGAGTACAGCATTTTACCCTCAGACAGACGGACAGTCCGAGCGCACTATTCAGATATTGGAGGATATGCTTCTCGCTTGTGTCATTGATTTTGGGGGTTCTTGGAATCAATTTCTGCCACTCGCAGAGTTTGCTTACAATAATAGCTACCAGTCAAGCATTCAGATGGCTCTGTATGAAGCTTTATATAGGAGACGGTGTCGGTCTCCGGTGGGTTAGTTTGAGCCTGGTGAGGTTAGACTATTGGGTACTGACTTGGTTTAGGATTCTTTAGAGAAGGTCAAAGTAATTCAGGAACGGCTTTGCACGGCACAGTCTAGACAGAAGATTTATGCCGACAGGAAGGTTCGTGATGTTGTCCACATGGTTGGGGAGAAGGTTCTGCTCAAGATTTCACCCATGAAGGCTGTGTTGAGGTTCGGGAAAAAGGGCAAGTTGAGCCCTCGGTATATTGGGCCTTTTGAGATACTTAAGAAAATTGGGGAGGTGGCTTATGAACTTGTTTTTCCACCTAGTCTATCAGGTGTTCATCCAGTGTTACATGTATCCATGCTCCGAAAGTATGTCGGGGATCCGTCTCACATTCTGGATTTCAGTACAGTATAGCTGGACGGTAATTTGACTTATGATGTGGAGCCGGTGGTTATTTTAGACCGGCGGGTTCGAAAGCTGAGGTCAAAGAACATAGCATCAGTGAAGGTGCAGTGGAGAGGCCAGCCAGTCAGAGAAGCTACTTGCGAGACTGAGCAGGATATGCTGAACAAATATCAACATTTATTTGAGACTCCAAGTATTATTCAAAACCCGTTCGAGGACGAACGTTTGTTTAAGAGAGGGAGAATGTAACGACCCGGCCGGTCGTTTTGAATATTATAACCCCGTTCCTCCATTTACGACTCAATTTATGTCTTGCAATTAATTTATGACTTATCGGGTTAGTTGGTTCGGGTCCGGAAGGAACTCAGAGTGAAATGAGACACTTAGTCTCATAATTAAAAATTTAAGTTAGAAAAGTGGACCGGATATGGACCTATGTGTAAACGACCTCGGATTTGAATTTTGATGATTTCAATAGCTCCGTAAGGTAATTTTGGGAGTAGGAGCATGTCCGGAATATTATTTGGCAGTCCGTAGAGGGATTAGGCTTGAAATGCCGAAAGTTTAATTTTTGAGAATTTTGACGGGGGTTTGACTTTTTGATGTCGGGGTCGGAATTCGATTCTGAAAATTGGAATACCACTATTATGTCATTTACGATTTGTGTGCAAAATTCGAGGTCCATCGAACGTGATTTGATAGGCTTCGGAGTCGTTTGTAGAAATTAGAAATTTCAAAGTTCGTTAGGCTTGAATTGGGGTGTAATTCATAATTTTAGCGTTGTTTGAGGTGATTTGAGAGTTCGACTAAGTCCGTATGATATTTTAGGACTTATTGGTATATTTGATCGAGGTCCCGAGGGGCTCGGGTGAGTTACGGATGGTTAATGGGTTGGATTTTGGACTTGGAACTCTCCTAGAATTTTTCTGATGCACCATCTGGTTTCCTTCATCGCGTTCGCGAATGGAGCCTCGCGTTCGCGAATAGGAGCTGAAGGGCTGGCAATATTTGCTCTTCATGTTTGCGAAGGATGGACTGGGTGTACATCACGAACGCGAGAGGTGTTACGCGTTCGCGAAGAAGAGAGGAAGCAGTTGAGGACCCCAGGCAATTGGTCTACATGTTCGCGTTGGGGGTATCGCATTCGCGTAGTGAGGGGGAACGAAGCATCGTGTTCGTGAAGGGTTGAATGCGTTCGTGTAGAAGGCATTGAGGCAGTAGCATTTTGTGCTTCGTGAATACGAGGGTGATGTCGCGTTCGCGAATGAGGAATTTGGACGGGAGATATTTTGTTCTTCGCGAACGCGAGGCACTCACCGCGTTCGCGAAGAAGAAAAGCAAGGGCAGTGAGTTTAAGTTCTGAAAATGGGACGAATTTGACGATTTGGAGCTCGGATTTGAGGCGATTTTGGGTGATTTTCAGAGGTAACAACGGGGTAAGTGTCCTTAACTCAATATTGGTTAAATTACCCGAATTCATGGTTGTTTATATCATTTAAATTGGTGAATTGAGTTGGAAAATTTGAAAACCCTCTTGGTTTAAATTGAAGATTTGAGGGTCGAGTTGGGGTCGAATTTTGGTATAATTGGTATGGTTAGACTCGTGGTTGAATGGGCTTCCGGATTTTGTAACTTTAGTCGGGTTCCGAGACATGGGCCCCACGGGCATATTTGAGCTAATTTTCGGATTTTTATGGAAAATTATTATTTTTTTATGGAATTAATTACAATAAATTTTATTGACTGAAACGAATTATTTATGACCATATTCGAGACGTTTGGAGATCAATTCACGAGGAAAGGGCATTGTAGAATAAGAATTTCACGACTTGAAGTAAGTAACAGTTTTAAATCTGGTCCAGAGGGTATGAAACCCCGGATTTTAGTATTATGCGATTATTTTAGAGGTGACGCATATGCTAGGTGACGGGCGTGAACCGAGGGGATTGTGACTTGGTCTGTCCCGAAAAACTGTAAAGTTAAATAATTTTTTGTTAGTTATATGCTCTCTATGTGTTGATAATATTTGACTGTAAATCATGTTAGAAATCAAGCTTAGGCTATGTGATAGTACTGTTGGGACCCACAGAGGTCGCGTACTTGTTGACTTGACGGCTAAATGCTATATGTATTCAGTCTCAATTTTTAGTTGCACATTTTATCTCAGTCTCTGTTATTATTATTGATACATCATATCATTGTTGTTTGGGTTGATTTCATGATTATTGAGAGCCCGAGAGACTGAAGAGATTTATGACTGAGTGAGGCCGAGGGCCTGATTGTGAGTTATTGATACTATAGCGCGTGAGTTGTCCGTGCAACACGTGAGTTGGCCGTGCAGATCCTTATATTA